GTTGTGATTGGATAATTTAAATTAGCAAGCAGTGACACTAATGAGACTTTATTAAACTAATTTCTCATTTTTTCGTTAAGGCGTGAAATATTATTTTGTACCGTAAATGGTACTTGAAATATTATAATGTACTGAAAATGTACTAAAAATCTAAATGTACTTTCAATTTACTGGAAAGGGCAAAATGTACCAGAAAAGTACAAATGTACTAGGAACGGCAACACTGACACCCAACATCATAGAAACAACACCGCCTTATCGGTATATTTTTCTGACCCAGAAATAGTACCGCTATTCCCTCTAGCCAGAATTATTCACACCACGTTCCGCACACAACACCTCAAATGGCTAGTGGCCTTATACATTTGCCTTAACACTTTCAGGAATAAGCACTGCATTAACTTCAAACAAGAAATGAAGATATCAACAGCATGGGAAGCCTTTCTCAATAAAACTCTAAAGTAACAACATACGGATAATGCGCAAGTCTACAATGACGCCATCGGTCACACGTGACAACGTTCCAGAAAGATTTTTCAAAACAACGGTTAATTCTAGACTGGAAATTCGAATTCATATAGGGAATTCCATAGCGCCTGAAGAAGAAGCACATTAGGTTCGAAAACGTTTGCAAAGTCCTCTGTATTGGAGAAGAACGTCAGGTGCAGGCAGTGAAGTTGGGTAATTCGAAATATTAATCAAAATAAAATATTTAAAAAATAATTTTTGGTAGAAACGATTCTCAAAGGAATAAGTGCAAATTTAAACTTCAAATGGAGACAAAACACTCAGCAATAGATCTATCAATAGATGAATACACTAGCAGGAACACGACGAAATCAGGTCGTTAAGATATAGACTGAATTAACGTCATTTTGTTTTTACGTTGCTTATAATTGTTTTCGTTACAATTAAAGAAATATTAGAATGTTTAGAAAAAGTATGTGGGATTATTCATAAATGATCTAATTTTAACGTCATAAAATACATCCAAATATTAATATTTACACCAGTGTGTGTAATAATGCAAGCACAAACGGGCAGACGGCCCTGGAAATAAAATAATTGAACACAGGCATGCACAGGTTGGAGGCTTGTGCGTCTAAGCAATGGAAATGTCCATGGAAAGTTTTCCGGTTTTTTTTCCTATGAAATATGTAATTAGTTTTCACTTTTCCATAAAAGTAATTCCGAAAGGTATTCATTCCTATGGCAGATTGCCCATTTATTGCGTTGCTTTATTTAATCGACAGAATGTATTCCTCAGAGAAAAGTGATCATTTTTTCATTTTATTGACTATTCTTTGTCTCATTTGAAGATGTCGTGCCTCGTTCTTTTTCATCTGATGATATTCCTCAATGAAATCCTGGTCGAACCCACATGAAATTTAGAAAATAATGTTTGTATTTATTCATATATATATGACTATACAATGAACAAGTTATAACTATATTGCTTATATATACATACACACGACAGTAGCGAACAACTAAATAAATACTGTATATGTACAAGGATATAATGTATACATATGTAATAGTAAAAACTTTTTTTTAAGTAGACTCAAACGCAACTAACATTTCTTAATACTCAAATTACTTTGCCACGTTTTGACATTATTTTTATAGATATAAAATAACTTTCTGGAGAAAAGACAATTAATTAATTAAATTTTTATCTTCTCTTTATCATATTTTAATTGAATTTATTTTATATATTTTAAATAAATTTATTGCAAACAAAAATGTATAGCTCAAAATTCAATTAGTTCATTTTGGAAACTATTACATAAATTTATTTTTTACCCAGCAATTTAGAAAAATAATTCTTAGTGACAAGAAATTTCCTTTACTATTCATTGATTTTTTGTATTAAACAAAGTAGAATTTTAAATGACAATTGGCAATAAATTAAGACAAGGCAATTACTAGAATTAATAAAAAATAAGAAACTGATAAAGAATTGTGGTTAATTCAGAATCAGTGGAGAGACACTCAGATGAAAACATATTAAACTGGTTAAGGTATCTTCCTTTAATCTGTGAATTAATGTACAAAAGTCTTTACATAGCAGTAGGACGAGCGTCCGCACGTGTCGACAGACAGTAGTTCTAACAAAGGAACAGGTTAAGACAAAGGGTCATAAAACCTTTTGTTTGGTTATTGGGTAGGTCCCTCTAGTGGGTCAAATTGGTATGCGTCGAGAGTATCGACAAGAATTAATTGCATGTTAATTACTTTCACTTTGTTGTTTTTTCTTGATTGTATTGACAATTTCTAATCCGAAAACAAATATCGTATCGAATTGAAAACCTTCATTTCACCTTCACTTTCATACAAACAAAATTTACTTTTTCAACTTTTAACTTTCCTCGTGATAAGTCTGATTTTAATTTTCAAACTATACAATAATTTTTGTAAATATTCAATTCTCCTCACACACAAAGCAAATTCAAATAAAACATGTTCAGAAAATAATCGAAATATAATCAATTATTCAGTTTGAGTATATTTTATTTTAAAATTCATATTACACTTTTTAACAACATGTTTTTCAATTAGTTGAAATAAATGAATTATTTATATACGAAAATGAACTTTTATAATATTTAAAGAGGATTTTTTCCCTCTGTGAAACTTTGTAAGCGATATTTGTTGAGGAATGAAGTTTCTGTACCTTGGTTGGAAGTTTCGGTTGAAAGGACTGAGAATCTTTCGTCGATCTTTTTCTGTGATAGTAAAAAGTGGCGAAGTTCGGTCGTTGTCAGCTTGAGGAGGAGAAGGAGTGGTTGACGATGCTTTGCTTCGAACACAAAATAAAACTGCGAAGAAGGCGAACTCGAAACAACCGAAAACGGCCTCGAATCGTAGGAAATCGCCCATATTAACCGTAAGTTTCTTCCAATAGAATTTTGATGTTTGTATCAGCTGACAGGACGTACTAATGAATTAGACGTCCAGATGTTCCTCAAAATTGGATACATTTTTTTATGAAAGTAAGTTCTATCTGCCTTTTTGAAATAAAAGTGACAAATGTGTCCTGTGTTGATAGGGAAAATACCTGAAAGTAGTGAACATGTTATTACTTTAACCCAGTGGTGATATTCGAAATATTTAACAAAGGGTTCGCTAACAGAAAATTTCTCCTTAACAGTTTTTTTTTCGCCCAAATGGTGCACCGGAAGGCTCTAGTTTAGTAGTGTTACAGAGTATAATACATATATTTTAATATATTTTTTAAAAGAATCAAAACCATTGAGAAATGTTACATGTGTTTAACAAGGTTCGGAAAACTTTGAAAATGTTAACAACGGATTCGGCCGAACCTGTGCGAACCCGCTGAATATCACCACTGCTTTAACCTAATCACTATTTGGAAGGAAAGAGTTATAATAATAATTCATGAGCAAGAAATAGTTTGGTTTAATTTAAGGTCTAAATTAAAGCCGTTCTCTATATTTAATAAAACCTTNACCTTTGGAGACATCATTAATATAAATAATTTTTATGGCCGTTGAATAAGAAGTGTTTCTTTCACAAGAAATGTATAAAATTAGTGCTGTATTAGACTTACGGTACCTAATTTACATACTGTACAGATGATAATAAACTGAACTTACTAGCCTAAAATCTCCGTAGCGTGTTGCCAGGTGGCAGAAAGCATATATTTAATTATAATAAAGTTACAATAAATTAAGTTAATATATAATTATATATACAGTACCTAATTTATATATAATTAATATATAATTATATGTACAGTACCTAATTTATATATAATTTATATAATACTGTTCAGAGGATAGAAATCTCTCTGTAGCGTGGCACTACGGACGGCGGGAAAGTATTTCGGCTGTCCGATGACGTTTTACGTAATTATAGGAGTTTTTTTTATTTTTTTACGGTTACCGTCACAATTTTTCGCAGTTTTATAGGAATCGTAATTATAGGGACCGTAATTATAGGGGGGTCGACTGTATATTATTAAATTTATCTTCATTATTGTTATGGTTATAGTTATTTAAGGAGAAATTTTTTTTAGTATCTCTAGGTTTGCAGAAATCTATAACTATTTGGACACATATGTTTCCTAATTTTTATAGTTATAATGCTGAAATTGGTTAAATTCTGTATGGTTCAACTGCCCCCTCCAAAATACTGAGGGTTTGTTTTAAACACTTTTTTCATACAATGCGTATTTCTCGAGATATTTCACAGTATCTGGTTCCTGTATAAAAAATATACTGTAGTTATAACTTCTATAAGAAATGACAGGTGCAGTTAACATTTGTTCATAATTACAGACATTGAAATCTTTTCAGATTATTTCGAATAACTCATTTTAACAAATAATATTTTTATTGTCTTCTCTTCATATTTTGATTAAATTAATTTGTATTAAATGTTTTTTAACAATTTTTTTGAAAATAAAAATCAATGATAATAAAATTCAAAATGTAATCAGTTTATTGTAGAAATATTAAATTAAATTCATTTTCTAAACATTAAGTTAGAAAAAACAATTATTACTAAATGGAATTTTTTTTCTATTAATAGTTGTTCGTATTAAATAAAGAACAAGATAAAACAATTGCAGGAATAAATAAAGTTCAGGAAACTTTACGTAATCAAAGGAAAATAACAGACTCATGAGCAACTAATCACTTTTACTTTTCTGATTTTTTCTTGATTGTTTTGATAAATTATTAATTACCAAAAAAAATCTTACCAAATTCATAACCTTGATTTGTGCATTACTTTTAGAAAACTAAAGTTAGTTTAGTAGCTCTTTTCATTTTACTGACAAACAATACAATAATTGGTATAAATATACAACGAAAAACGAACAATCTATTTCTAACAATAAAAAACTAACAATTTATTTTCAAAAATAAAAAATCAACAATCTATTCTAATTTTCTAAAGTCTAAGAGATTGATACTGGTAGTATCAAAATATTCCAATTGATTATACATAACTTGTGTACATAATAACCATTTTTAATCGTGATCGTGATGGTCAGAATGATGGTGATGAGAATTATCGTGACTACTGTGAGAGCTATGATCGTCATGCCCTTGATGGTGGTCGCTATGATTGTCATGCTCTTGATGGTGGTCACTATGATCGTCATGTCCTTGGTGGTGGTCACTATGATCGTCATGCCCGTGATGGTGGTCACCATGATAGTCGTGTCCTTTGTGAGAGTCGTCGTGTTCGTGAGAACTATCATTGTGATGATGGCTATCATCATGGTGATCTTCGTGACTGTCATGATGATCTTCACGACTATGTACATCGGATCCATAATGATGAGGTCTATGATAACCATGATGGTCGTCGTAATGACCTCCATGATGGTCGTGGTGATGATCGTCATGGTGACCTCCGTGATGATGATCGTCACAATGACAATCATGAAAAGAGCCGTGATAGGACTTTGAATGATCAGAATGTTCAAGACCATCTTCATTCATATGATGCATATCTTTTCCTTCATTCTTTAGTGGCATTCCGAGAAAATTCTTCAATTTATCATTTACTTCCATCTGAAAAAGATGCAGCTGATGCAGATCATGTTTAACGTTTTTATTCATGTCAGAAACCATGCTCCAAAGAGACAACAGATTCTTTTCTAGATTTTCAATCTGAGTTTTCAAGTCCCCTAATGGATCGATGTTACTAAGTCTTTTTTCAAGATCATTTTTTTACATTTATTATTATTATTTAATAGTTTACAAATCACAATCCTTTATACTGTTTAAACAGTATATTTACAAACGTACACGTATACATACATTTGATGGGAATCATAATATCTCCTAATGGGGATCAGTCTTTCCCCGCACCGCTTTCGCATAACGGGGCTTAGATACAATATTCTCTACAGTAACTTATATTATAAATACGATTATACATAACATAATAAAAAAAATAAAAGTAAAAAAATAAATAATAATAAAATAAAATAAATATAATAAAAGAAAAAAAGAAAAAAAACCCACTGAGCAACTTGCTCAGGAAAAATAATTACAATTTAACCCGAGTTACTTTTCTCTGTATGATCTTCTTGAAAAAAGGTAACGAGCTGCCTATACGTTTTTTTGTTTCTGATTAATTGGTACACACTACAGTGCTAGCGTAACCCTTTTTCCAATACAAGCAATGAGAGATAATGTCTTTCAGATGTCCATTCCAAGCAATCATAAATGAGATGGTACAAAGTCTCCATCTCCTCTCCACATACACATTAATTTTGTTCATCCAAATGAAATCTGCTCCTATATTCTCCGAGACCATCGTGTCCCGAAAGACAAATCATAAGTTCACGCTCTCTCCCAAACCACTTAAGATGGGAGAGTCTTTCATCAATATTTGGGAGAAAGTCGAAGGTTTTCCTCCCTTTTATACTATTTGTCCAAATCTGTTGCCATTTTTCTATCATTGTACTTTTTAATGCCCCCTTTCCCCAGGACTGTGGAATTGTGTTAAACACTTTTTCATTACCAGTGGCAGCTTCTTTGGCCAGAAAATCGGCTCGTTCATTCCCATATATACCGACATGCGCTCTGACCCATTTAAAATAAAACTTCTCTATTAGACCATGTTCTCTGAGTTTTGTCTGAATACTAAAGACCTGCTGATGTTTACATTTATGGTTAGTCAGGGCCTGAAGAGCACTGCGACTATCTGTATTAATACAGACACCTTCTTTCCGTTCATGTTTTATACACCATTTAACAGCTTTGTCTATGGCCAATAACTCGGCTTGAAAATTGGAGCAATATGCTTCCAATGTAAATTTGTCACTATGAATTTCTTCATCTATACTAATATTATAAAAGGTAATGTTTGTATGTATGTTAGTTTGTATGCAGCAGGTAATCTCCGAAACTACTCATCCCATTTCAAAAATTTTTTCACCAATATTTAGAATGGAACTTCAGGATGGACATAGGCTGTATATTATTTCGTTAAACATGGGGGATGGACATTTCTTTACGGTAAGCCTTACGGGGAAGCTTACCGTAAAGAACTCTGCTTCTATTTATACTATTTTAGATGCGAATTTTTGAGTTTTTGATTGCGTTTTAATAGAGTACGTCAACAGAATGTACACTAAGAAGGGATTTTTCGATATTCCCCCCGGGGGAGAGGGACAGGATTGAGGCTTACTGTGAAGAACTTCACTTCTATTATACTATTTTAGATGCGGGTTTTTGCGTTTTTGATTCTGTTTTAATAGGGTACATCAACAGATTGTACACTAAGAAGGGATTTTTCAAAAAATTTTCCCCCCTGGGGAAGTGTTATACATTTATAATAGATACATTTTGAGCCACAACAATGCGTGGCGAGGTCTGCTAGTTTTGCTCATAAACTACGAAAGCGGCCCCAGTGCCTGAATCAGACCTAGAACCGTCCATATATATATCAGTCTTAATTAGGTCATTAGCCAGCAGCCTTACCCCTACACTTTCAGCTGGGTGAGGCAGTTCCTTTACTGAGATATCTCGTTCATAATTATTTAGATCAATTGGAATATCGATCCTGTTATCCTCTCCGCCTTTCTTTAGCCAATACCTCTGAGCTCTTTCTTCTATTATTAATTCAAGAGGCGCTTTTCCGCCAACACCATAAGAGCCTCTGTAGATGTAGTCTTAAAACACCTTGTAAGTTTCAAAAGAGCAGTCTTTTTAATATCACAAAGACTAGTTAAACGATTAATTATTTTGCAAATATATTGGAATTGACGGAATAATCAGCAGCCATTTTTTCGAACATGGCCAGCTTGTTTATCAGACCTGAACTCATTTGATTTTTGCCTTTAGAGCCATTTCAGGATTATTGTGTTTGATGAACACATTACAAATATAGCAGGACTCAAAGTCAGCATTAGAACCATATGCACTCATATGTATAGTTGCTCATGCTATTTTGCGATTTCAGCTTGTATAAAAATATAAAAGACAGCATATTAAACATTTGTCATGTCACTCGTTAATGCGTTCTTACTTTTGTATTTTACCTCTGAAAAATAGTTAGATGAACGGCGTGATTTTATTGCTAACAGGAAGAGATTAATGTACAGAGAAAGACACTACTAATTTGAAGTACTGTACATAACGTATATTTTAAGTTTAATTTAAAAATTGCAACCCGGCAGTGACAGTGTCTCAATATAATAATTACTTGTATTAATTCTTTTTTTAAGTTATTGCAATTTTATGTCTGTTGAAAATGAGTAAGAGGTGTTACGTTCGTTTTGCAGATGTGTGTAACTAGTGCTGGACTTTTGTTTTGAAACTGGTTTAGTAGTGTACAACGTATGGATGCGCCACATTCACAAACGATTTTATACTACGGACCATGGATTTTATACCACGGACCATGGATTTTATACTACAGACTATGGTTCCGTATGGTTATTGCATATTGGTTCGATTACATAACGATTGTAACGTTCTATAAATTAATCAAATAGAAAATAGTTCGTTTGATTCTTAACAATTCTCATCATTCTCAGCGATAGGTGTTATATAATAATTACTATGGTTGTTGAAATACTGAATATAAACGGGGTTTGCTTCCNGAATCTATTAAATCTAATATAATAGAGTTAATTATATTGAACTTGCTTATTTATTAAGTTCGTTAGATAATCTATTAATTAAAAATACATTTAGAGAAGTCTACGGTTTTTACTGGCTTATCGAACAAACGAATACGAATGGACCCTAGACCATCGCTGACTGATTGCCCCTGGAAGTCGACTTTTTATAGAAACACAGCTTCCCTATCATCAAATGTCACGGCACGCCACTGTAACAACCATTTTTAATATCACAAAGATTAGTTAAACGATTAATTATTTTGCAAATATATTGGAATTGACAGAATAATCAGCAGCCATTTTTTCGAACATGGCCAGCTTGTTTATCAGACTTGAACTTATTTGATTTTTGCCTTTAGAGCCATTTCAGGATTATTGTGTTTGATGAACACATTACAAATTTAGCAGGACTCAAAGTCAGTATTATAACCATATGCACTATTTGTTGCTCATACTATTTTGCGATTTCAGCTTGTATAAAAATATAAAAGACAGCGTATTAAACATTTGTTATGTCACTCGTTAATGTGTTCTTACTTTTGTATTTTTCCTCTAAAAATAGTTAGATGAACGGCGTGATTTTATTGCTAACAGGAAGAGATTAATGTACAGAGAAATACACTACTAATTTGAAGTACATAACGTATATTTTAAGTTTAATTTAAAAATTGCAACCCGGCAGTGACAGTGTCTCAATATAATAATTACTTGTATTAATTCTTTATTTAAGTTATTGCAATTTTATGTCTGTTCAAAATGAGTAAGAGGTGTTACGTTCGTTTTGCAGATGTGTGTAACTAGTGCTGGACTTTTGTATTGAAACTGGTTTAGTAGTGTACAACGTATGGATGCGCCACATTCACAAACGATTTTATACTACGGAACCATGTACGATTTTATAGAAAAATGACATAAACTGTCATTTTTCTACATAATTCCGTACCGTATGGTTATTGCATATTGGTTCGATTATATAACGATTGTAACGTTTTATATATTGATCAAATAGAAAATAGTTCGTTTGATTCTTAACAATTCTCATCATTCTCAGCGGTAGGTGTTATATAATAATTACTATGGTTGTTGAAATACTGAATATAAACGGGTTTTGCTTCCAAAATCCGTGTAGGCGAAGTCGCGGGTAATAGCTAGTATAATATATTCATAAACGAACTTGCCATTGAAACACGAGTTCTTTTATACTTAGTAAAAAAGTTCTTCATTGCTAAGTTATATTACAAGTAGGTTATATTTATTTTAATACCGTTAGAATCAAGGAGCCGATATTTTGTTCAAATAATTAAAACTTAGAAAGTAATAACCATTTTTTTTTTTAAATCGTGAGTCACAGTAAACTTACTTTCGATTTCAAAAAGTTCCTGAAGACAGATGCTGATTTTTAAATCAACTTCAGAAGAAAGTTCTTTGTTGCTTCTTTCCTCAGGTGACTAAAATCGCTTCAATTCAATGGTTAGACCAATATCCTATAACTAAGATTAACACAGACGCTTTTCAACTGGAATTGGAAATAGAACTCTGAAGAAAGTTTGTGTCTGAACTGATAGCAGATTTCCGCCGAATGTAGGATTTCGTTGCTACAACCGTTGAATTTTAAATAAGTAGTTATATTATTATCGTATTATGTTTTAAGTGTCAAACTACATTGTCTGATTATAGCTCGCTCCGCTAATATATTACCGTTCGGACTAACTCAAATCTATTTTACTTATCGCTAGTTAAAACGCGATATAAAATTAACTGTTTTAACTGGTGTCAGGTTGTAAGTTTTCATCCCGTCTCTTCTGCAGCGTTTTTCACACAATTTCCCTCTTACAAGTAATGTGAACAGTTCGATGGGCGGTCTTCATATTTGAAATAAAAAGTTAAAAGTATTCAAATTTACGCACATTCCGTTTTGTGTATTACAATAAACTATTAAACAAATATTTCAAAAATTATTTTTATTAAGTTATAAATATTTCGAAATCTAGTATT